CTTCTCCTCCCTGCTGAATCCTCCTCCTCCTCCCCCTCCCTCCTCCCTCTCTGTGGATGACTTCGTCAACCATTTTGAAAAGAAGGTTGACGACATCCGATCCTCATTTATTAAGTCAAATGACACCGCTGGTCCTGCTCACACTGCCCTACCCTATGCTTTTACTTCTTTCTCCCCTCTCTCTCCAGATGAAATCTTGCGACTTGTGGCGGCCGGCCACCCAACAACCTGCCCGCTTGACCCTATCCCCTCCTCTCTTCTCCAGACCATTTCCGGAGACCTTCTCCCTTACCTCACCTCGCTCATCAACTCATCCTTGACCGCTGGCCATGTCCCTTCCGTCTTCAAGAGAGCGAGAGTTGCACCCCTGCTCAAAAAACCTACATTCGATCCCTCCGATGTCAACAACTACAGACCAGTATCCCTTCTTTCTTTTCTCTCCAAAACTCTTGAGCGTGCCGTCTCTAGCCAACTCTCCTGCTATCTCTCTCAGAATGACCTTCTTGATCCAAACCAGTCAGGTTTCAAGACTGGTCATTCAACTGAGACTGCTCTTCTCTGTGTCACGGAGGCTCTCCGCACTGCTAAAGCTAACTCTCTCTCCTCTGCTCTTATACTTCTAGACCTATCTGCTGCCTTTGATACTGTGAACCATCAGATCCTCCTCTCCACCCCCTCCGAGTTGGGCATCTCCGGCGCTGCTCACTCTTGGATTGCGTCCTACCTGACAGGTCGCTCCTACCAGGTGGCGTGGTGAGAATCTGTCTCTGCACCACGTGCTCTCACCACTGGTGTCCCCCAGGGCTCAATTCTAGGCCCTCTCCTATTCTCTCTATACACCAAGTCACTTGGCTCTGTCATATCCTCACATGGTCTCTCCTATCATTGCTACGCAGACGACACACAATTAATTTTCTCCTTTCCCCCTTCTGATAACCAGGTGGCGAATCGCATCTCTGCATGTCTGGCAGACATATCAGTGTGGATGTCGGAACACCACCTCAAGCTGAACCTCGGCAAGACGGAGCTGCTCTTCCTCCCGGGGAAGGACTGCCCGCTCCATGATCTCGCCATCACGGTTGACAACTCCATTGTGTCCTCCTCCCAGAGTGCAAAGAACCTTGGCGTGACCCTGGACAACACCCTGTCGTTCTCCGCTAACATCAAAGCGGTGACCCGATCCTGCAGGTTCATGCTCTACAACATTCGCAGAGTATGACCCTACCTTACACAGAAAGCTGCACAGGTCCTAAGCCAGGCACTTGTCATCTCCCGTCTGGATTACTGCAACTCGCTGTTGGCTGGGCTCCCTGCCTGTGCCATTAAACCCCTACAACTCATCCAGAATGCCGCAGCCTGTCTGGTGTTCAACCTTCCCAAGTTCTCTCACGTCACCCCGCTCCTCCGCACACTCCACTGGCTTCCAGTTGAAGCTCGCATCTGCTACAAGACCATGGTGCTTGCCTACAGAGCTGTGAGGGGAACGGCACCTCCTTACCTTCAGGCTCTGATCAGACCCTACACCCAAACGAGGGCACTACGTTCATCCACCTCTGACCTGCTAGCCCCCCTACCTCTACGGAAGCACAGTTCCCGCTCAGCCCAGTCAAAGCTATTCGCTGCTCTGGCACCCCAATGGTGGAACAAGCTCCCCCACGACGCCAGGACAGCGGAGTCAGACATAAATGTAAATGTAATGGTTTTCTTCAATTATTAATAATAATGATGTAGTCATTATATCCCATGAATCCTCGTAGCCTGATGATAAATAAGTCAGGACGAGAGCATGCTGATTTTCCTCTACATTATATCCCCACATTTACAGTTTCTGGGTGCAATATAACCAATGTGGCATATGTAATGGTTTGAAAAAGACAGCAACATCGTTCAAACAGTACCACAACAGTATATTCCCCATCCTGCATTATAGAGTCTAAATCTGCATTTATTTCTATGAGAAACCAAACAGAGCACGATAATATACAGGTATTGTGTTGTTGCACAGATACACAGGCGACTGAAATAGAACATACACCACACAGTAACACTGACCAGGACTGTTACAGTTAATATAAGACCAATGTGGCATGTCTACAATCATTTAAAGAACAGAACAAGGTATTGCAAACAGTATAATTATCACAGTAAAAATATCACTGCAACCGTTAAGTCCTCTTATCCAGGGGGAGGTTGTTATTCTCCCTTTTGGCCAATTAACAAAGTTCCAACACCATTACACACAATTCCTCTGTTTGCTCAACCGGTATTCAAAACAATACATTCTAGCTTGTACTCATTCTGCCATTGTGCGATGTAGAAGACTTTTGAACTACAGTTCCAACAAAAAGGCAGAAACATTCTGATATGACTGATAAAACATCATTGCGCACAACATAATACAAACATATGTTCAAATAAAACGTCTACATTCTCAAGAACGGACAGCAGTTTCCTGTCTGGTACAATACAATTAGATTGGGTCTTGTGTTCTAAGAAGTTTCTTGTCTGGTACAATACAATTAGATGGGGTCTTGTGGTCTAAGAATTCTGTCCCATTTGAAAAATGTATAGTATGATTGAGTTGTGTCGATATAGACTAGTCTGTCTTAGAAATACTATTACCAGTATGTCCACAAGGAAGTCAGCTTGTACTCGCATGTATGCTTCCAACAAATAAGTTCCAAATACAGGATGACATCATGACAAATATGTACATGCAAATAAATGAATGTTCCCTGATGTACATCTTAACTTAAATCTTAATTTAGTACATCTTTGTAGATCTTAATTTGGGCAATATATGTCAGTTAATTCATTATAATGTAGCTATTACAAATCAGTTAAAGAGTTGTCCAGGGAAATGTTTATACTGCATTGTAGTCCTGTCTGCCTGCTGTCAATCAGTGTTTTCAATCGTCAAGTTCCTCTCACACTGAGTCTCTCATGGAGTACCTTTATGTGAATCATCATCTGCATAAATTACATTTGAGTCTTTTAGCAGACGCTCTTATCCAGAGTGACTTACAGTTTTTAGTGAGTGCATCCATTTTCATACTGGCCCCCCGTGGGAAACGAACCCACAACCCTGGTGTTGCAAGCGCCATGCTCTACCAACTGAGCTACACACATTTGTAAACACTCCTCTTAACATCCCCCAGAAATACTAAGCTCTTTCTAAAATAGTTTTTAAATAGTTTATATTTGTGTTTTTAAATAGTGATTTCCAGTATTAAATAATCTGACTTTTCTTGTCTGTCACAAAGCAGTCCTGAAGCTTTACAGATGTAGGCCCTTAATTTGATCACTCTTTTGTTGCAGATGAGCTTCATGATTTACATAAATTAACTGAAAACTTACTGTAGCCTAGTTTTGGCCAGCTAATAGTCTAACCACTAATCAAGCAATATTATGGACTAAACGTTAAAATCCTGTTGCGGCAGGATTATTTTGCTGTGACAATACAGGTCAAATTAAGATCCTACATCTGTACACTAACACACTGACAGCCTACTAACAACAACATCATTTCTTCTGAATTCAGTTGTTGACCTTCTTTGTCCTCTCACTTAAATCTGAAGTACGGGATATAACTTTTGTACTTTCCAGAACCAATCATTTTTGGTAGAAAATGTTCAACCCGGTCTTTTCCCATTTCTGAGTGGTGCCACATAAGGTGTACAGTAACCTGCTGTGGTTTAATGATTGATGAAAATACACTGCTAAAAAAATAAGGTGCTTTATGAGGGCCATATGAGATGAGTCACTGAACCTTTTTTGGTTCTATACAGCATAATTTCTTCTCGCAGTGACCTGTCTTGTTCCTGTTCCCTTTGCAACCGTCCCTTTAACACAGTATGTCCCCTTCTTTCAGACAAATCAACATGATAAATACACACAGTACAGCACTAGTTAAGAAACATTTAACTACCTCAAAATAACATTGCAACTTGTACTTTAAACTAGCATCAAACAAACGTCTTACTGTAATTAATATTCAGGGCATTCACAATGATGAAATGTGCTACTGTTGTATACCTGATACAGTTAACCTGAATACATGCGTTCCAGTTAACTCCTGTAAAATATACCTTAGAACTACATCCAGTACTATGTGTACAGACTCTTAACAGTATAATGTGATATTAGCTTGCATTTTCCAAGGTGGATGTCCTATTAAATGTTCCCTAATGTGCTATTGTCAAGTCGGTAGGACTTTCTATGAACTTTTTATGAAGCCCATATCTATGTGTTTATAACTGTGCTCATAATGCATTATGACTGCATTATAACTCACTATGAGCGTGTTCATAACACATGATAGATATGGGATTCAAGTGTTAGTCTATATAAGAACAGCAGATGGATAGCAGGGCTGTTCTCAGCGAGGACTCTGACAATGAACGAAGCTGCAATAGTAAGGCAGGCATTTCCCTTATCGTTAAGTTAACCAGCGTACACATCAACTAGACATATGAAGGCTATATGTTTTGCGCCATTAAGAGAGGGATAGTTACGTTTCCCATGTATGATAAAGGGCTAAAATACAATGGTTGAATCTCAATATTACTACCAGGGGTTTGGAGTCAAGCTTTTGATTTTAAAATGTATCCTTTTGCTGAAGCTGAAGTTATGATGTTCTCTCAAATACCCTTCTACTCTCCTATGAGAGTCCCCGGTATCACCACTCCCCCCACCTTCCTTCATAGGCTGCATCCCGATTCTCGACCCTTCTCATTGAAAAGCATTGAATTGGTGTAAGCATCGACTGGGGAGAGTTTCGCCTAGAGATTTTCAGCTAACGTTACAGAGAGTTTCACCTAGAGAGAATTCATGGTGGGCAGTGATCAAGTGTACACTTCAGAAGATGGATAGAGAATTGGGATGCAACCTTAGTTTCACCCCCCCCCCCCCCCCCCCACTACACTTCTACTCTCCTTGTCCTTCCCTAGTTTCTTCCCTAGTTTCACCCCAACATTTTAACTATCCCCACCCCCCTTCTAGCCGATCATGGGGTCGTCCCCGCCGGGCGAGGCCAGCTCGGGGACACTAACGAAGGTATTGTCCTCCCTGAGCGAGGTGGAGTTGTTCCGGTGGGACACGGAGGTGAAGGCCAGATGGTCGTGCTCCAGTATCGCCAAGTGGTCCTGTGGTTTCTCCTTCTTCAGATAGAACATCTTCCTCAGGGTCTTCAGCTGCTGCAGCTCACAGAACGTCTCCAGGACCACCAGCATCACGACCAGGCCCAGGAGGAGGTAGACTGGAGAGCGAGAGAAGAGAGAGAGATAGAGAAGAGAGAGCGCGCGTGAGAGAGAGAGAGAGAGAGAGCGCGAGAGAGAGAGAGAGAGAGAGAGAAGAAAGAGAGAGAGAAAGAGAGAGAACATCCCTGGTCATGAATATTGCCATTTGATCTTTCTCCCTCCATCGTTCATATCCTCACATGCATAGTATTATATAAATACTGAATAGGGTATCTGCAGAACTCCTCTTCTCCTCTTCTCCAACTCATCACTGGCTCATTGAGACCCTTAGCTGACTCAGTTCATAGCATGGAAATCATAACCTCACAATAATGTTTGTTTTCTATTGCTGTGACCTAATCTAACCACTGATGATCCCAGCAAGCAGCATGTAGTCAGTAGAAAGGTTTTGGTGTTGGTTTTCCTGATAATAGATGATTATTATCATGATCATTACTATGGTCATAATCATTTTAAACTAGAATTTAGATCAACTACAGTCTCTAAATAGCACTTGCAGTCTACATTAATTTAGACGTCTACAATGATGGGCTTTGCCAAGCCTTTTTGTCTATTTCCTATGTGACTAACTATACTGATGATGGAAGAGGGCATGTTCAGGAAAGATATGTGAAGATTCTCCTGTCTCGGAGTCGGCCAAACTTCAAATACATGCCAGAAGTACTGAAGGCAATCCACATAAAATATACAGGACCCCATATTAAGTTAAAATTATCATTTTTCTCTCTTCTTAGCCAGGAGCTGTCTTCTCTTTCAGGACAAAGGCTTCTGGGTTTTTGGCTTCTAAAGAGCAAGACGAACCTGTCCAATAGCATCCAGAGCCTCAAGGTGTTGGATGTTGCTGCATCTCTATTTATCTGGTTATTTGAGTTCACTTTAATTTGACAACCCAGTTCTGGATCATTCTTCAACCTTTCATGGACTCTTGGTAGACCAGCCCCATTGTGGGTTAAAAGAAATTCAAGCAAACAAACGTTAACACTCACCAGTGATGCCCACTTTATAGAGCTGTCTGAACCTCTGGTTGAAGGACTCTCCTGGTACGTAATCTCCCAGTCCGATGGTACTGAGAGATATAAAACAGAAGTAGAAACTCTCCAGGAAGTTCCAGTTCTCCTCTAGGGAGGAGAAGATGGCCGCCGGGATGAGGAAGAAACAGGAAGCAGCCAGGATGGCGAGGAGCGTGGCGTGGACCATGGCTACCAGAGGTTTGGACAGGCCCCAGCGGGTGGACACGTACATGACGGGCCGGCGGGTGCTGAAGATCATGATACGTTGGACCACGGCGGTGAGGAAGAGGAGGGTGAAGGGGATGCCGAGCACAGAGTAGACGATACAGAAAGCTTTGCCACCGTCAGACAGCGGAGCGGTGTGGCCGTATCCTGGAGGAAACACAAAGCAGTGTTTAATTAAGATCATTATCAATGTTAAATCATTGATCATGTGACACTTAGATTGCACACAGCTGGACTTTATTTCACTAATTATGTGACTTCTGAAGGTCATTGGTTGCACCAGATCTTATTTAGGGGCTTCATAGCAAAGGGGGTGAATACATATGCACGCACCACTTTTCCATTATTTATTTTTTAGAATGTTTTGAAACAAGTTATTTTTTAAATTTCACTTCACCAATTTGGAGTATTTTGTGTATGTCCATTACATGAAATCCAAATAAAAATCCATTTAAATTACAGGTTGTAATGCAACAAAATAGGACAAACGCCAAGGGGATGAATACTTTTGCAAGGCACTGTAAATGCCTCATGAGCTTAGTTCAACTGTCGTACCCCATCAGAACCCAAAATAGAAGCTTGTTTACTCCAATGTTTGTAAACAATGTAAATGTAAACACACACTGTATAACCTCGACACATGATTAAAACTTTACATTTGATTTCATGGATGGCCAGTCCTTCTATCCATAGCTCTGTCCATGAATTTGAGAGTGGTTACATTTCTCCAGCCCCATCTCTCCAAAACGGTAGTGGGGTGTCCGTTTTCTTATTGTTTCAACTCTAGATTGAAACAATAAGAAAAGAGCGTGCAGCATGTTTTGGTTTAAGTGTTCCTCTCATGAGTGTTCAAAATGCCATGGCCCTCCAACACAATCATGCAAATGGGGCTAGGCTAGTTCATGTCTTTAGAGGCCTACCATGATTTTCAATATCTTTATTAAGTCAAAATGGTTAGAAAGTTATGTTAGGAACCAAACCCTGCAGTAAAATGAAGCAATGCTAGTTCAGAAGGGGAACCCCAGTGTGGTGACATCAGTGGATATTGCACCAATGGGATTCACAGTCTACTTACATGTGGTCTATTTAAGTTGACCAGTTTTGCACATGCTTCCTCGATGCCGGATGTCACGCGCACATATGCGTTGGTGTCTCTTGCTGCCATTGCATTGCTGCTGTAACTAGCTGCTACTCACTATGCTTGCTGTGTCTGATATCCCAGCACCTCCCCACCCTCTTCCCCAGCCTCCACCTGCCTGGGTTCTGATATCCCAGCACCTCCCCACCCTCTTCCCCAGCCTCCACCTGCCTGGGTTCTGATATCCCAGCACCTCCCCACCCTCTTCCCCAGCCTCCACCTGTCTGGGTTCTGATATCCCAGCACCTCCCCAGCCTCCACCTGTCTGGGTTCTGGGTTCCTTCCTCCAGGGGATATGGTATAGCATATCGTACTCACTGCCCGTAGTTCTATCATCTTCATATGATGCTTTGGCTCTGGCAGTGAGCTACCCTGAAGGAGCCTAACTACAAGACTATGTCATATTATCTAATAAATGATTACACATACACGCGGTGTGTCCTTTCTGAACTGATGTAGCCTACTTAACACATCTCTATCAGTGAATGGTGACACATAACACTGTGCCAGGAAGTAATGTGATGGATGGTTATGAAGTCACCATTGGCCTCATGGTGAAATCCCTGAGTGGTTTCCTTCCGCTCCGGCAACTGAGTTAGGAAGGATGCCTGTATCTTTGTAGTGACTGGGTGTATTGATACAACATCCAAAGTGTAATGAATAACTTCACCATGCTCAAATTGATATTCAATGTCTGCTTTTTTATTTGTTTACCCATATGTGCCCTTCTTTGCGAGGCATTGGAAAACCTCTCTGGTCTTTGTGGTTGAATCTGCATTTGAAATGCACTGCTCGACTGAGGGACCTTACAGATGTGTGGGGTACAGAGATGAGGTAGTCATAAAAAAATCCTCTTAAACACTATTATTGCACACTGAGGGAGTCCATGCCACTTATTATGTGATTTGTTAAGCACATTTTTACTCCTGAACTTATTTAGGCTTGCCATAACAAAGGGGTTGAATACTTATTGACTCTAGACATTTCAGCTTTTAATTTTTAATTATTTTGTAAAAATGTCTAAATAAATAAATAAATAAATTGGTCATTTTGCAGACGCTCTTATCCAGAGCGACTTACAGGAGCAATTAGGGTTAAGTGCCTTGCTTAACCACTAAGCTACCTGCCGCCCATTTTAGTCATTTAGCAGACACACTTATCCAGAGCGACTTACAGGAGCAATTAGGGTTAAGTGCCTTGCTCAAGGGCACATCGACAGATTTTTCACCTAGTCGGCTCGGGGATTAGAACCAGCGACCTTTCGGTTACTGGCACAACGCTCTTAACCACTAAGCTACCTGCCGCCCTATACAAACATAATTCCACTTTGACATGATGAGATATTGTGTGTAGGTCAGTGATAACATCTCAATTTAATCCATTTTAAATTCAGGCTGTAACACAACAAAATGTGGAAAAAGTCAAGGGGTTTAAATACTTTCTGAATTTCATTTTCAAGTCTGTAATCATTGGTGGGAGTGTCAACAATGACAGACCAGAGCCGCCGGAAAACGTGTGGCGAGACAACATTTGCCCCAGTACTTTTCAATCTTTCAAATCAGCAGCACCGAACGCGTTTACCAGACATATTCATTAGTTCATAGAAAAAGGTTTTGCAATGGAAAAGATAGATGGTGTTTCACACGGTAACCCCCACGCTCGCTGCAACAGGTGGATTCACTTGTCAGTCACAGTGGTCTCCTAGCTACAGCCTACACAGCCTCATCAGCCACGCCTCTCAACAACTACCTATGTTTGGTTGCACCAGTACATTGTTGTTTGACTCTGCACTCTGCAGTCGGTTTCTTTCTTTGCTCACACTCCTCTCCTGCCTGCCTGGTTGACTGCCTCATGAGAGAGCGAACACACATTTTCATGGAAAACAAGGTACAGTGAGGGAAAAATGTATTTGATCCCCTGCTGATTTTGTATGTTTGCCCACTGACAAAGACATGATCAGTCTATAATTTTAATGGTAGGTTTATTTGAACAGTGAGAGACAGAATAACAACAAAAACATCCAGAAAAACGCATGTCAAAAATGTTATAAATTGATTTGCATTTTAATGAGGGAAATAAGTATTTGACCCCCTCTGCAAAACATGACTTAGTAATTGGTGGCAAAACCCTTGTTGGCAATCACAGAGGTCAGACGTTTCTTGTAGTTGGCCACCAGGTTTGCACACATCTCAGGAGGGATTTTGTTCCACTCCTCTTTGCAGATCTTCTCCAAGTCATTAAGGTTTCGAGGCTGACGTTTGGCAACTCGAACCTTCAGCTCCCTCCACAGATTTTCTATGGGATTAAGGTCTGGAGACTGGCTAGGCCACTCCAGGAACTTAATGTGCTTCTTCTTGAGCCACTCCTTTGTTGCCTTGGCCGTGTGTTTTGGGTCATTGTCATGCTGGAATACCCATCCACGACCCATTTTCAATGCCCTGGCTGAGGGAAGGAGGTTCTCACCCAAGATTTGACGGTACATGGCCCCGTCCATCGTCCCTTTGATGCAGTGAAGTTGTCCTGTCCCCTTAGCAGAAAAACACCCCCAAAGCATAATGTTTCCACCTCCATGTTTGACGGTGGGGATGGTGTTCTTGGGGTCATAGGCAGCATTCCTCCTCCTCCAAACACGGCGAGTTGAGTTGATGCCAAAGAGCTCGATTTTGGTCTCATCTGACCACAATACTTTCGCCCAGTTCTCCTCTGAATCATTCAGATGTTCATTGGCAAACTTCAGACGGGCCTGTATATGTGCTTTCTTGAGCAGGGGGAGCGTGTAGTTCTGGGCTGATTCCTCACCGTTCTCATGATCATTGCAACTCCACGAGGTGAGATCTTGCATGGAGCCCCAGACCGAGGGAGATTGACAGTTCTTTGGTGTTTCTTCCATTTGCGAATAATCGCACCAACTGTTGTCACCTTGGTCTTGTAGCCCATTCCAGCCTTGTGTAGGTCTACAATCTTGTCCCTGACATCCTTGGAGAGCTCTTTGGTCTTGGCCATGGTGGAGAGTTTGGAATCTGATTGATTGATTGCTTCTGTGGACAGGTGTCTTTTATACAGGTAACAAGCTGAGATTAGGAGCACTCTTAGCTCGTTACCTGTATAAAAGACACCTGGGAGCCAGAAATCTTTCTGATTGAGAGGGGGTCAAATACTTATTTCCCTCATTAAAATGCAAATCAATTTATAACATTTTTGACATGCGTTTTACTGGATTTTTGTTGTTGTTATTCTGTCTCTCACTATTCAAATAAACCTACCATTAAAATTATAGACTGATCATTTCTTTGTCAGTGGGCAAACGTACAAAATCAGCAGGGGATCAAATACTTTTTTCCCTCACTGTATGTGTTAATAAAATCAGTTTAGTCATCCTCTAAAACTAGCTAGCTAAGTTGATGCAATCATGCAATTTAGACTCACTGAATAAATGTGTTTGGCACAGGATAAAGACGATGAAACGATCTGCCGCTGCTACCCAAGGCCAAGGGTTAATGAAGTTCCTGAAAAGGTTAGTCAGCTAGTTTGTTAGTCCAGTAATATTGGCATATTATTTTATTTCCACTGCTGTTGATTATTCACAAATGTTTGTGCCGCAAATTTCACTGTCTTAAAAGTCTACACAGACAATATTAACACATTTATCCAACCATACCAGATGGATAGCTAATGCAGAAAGAGAGAATTGATGGATTCCAGCACCACCATAACTTTCACAAATACAGAGACAGGAAGCCATCATGGCGTCAGTATTTTTCGACTAGCTAGTACATAGTGATACCTACTGATATGAACTGGCAATGCATGTTTGGTTGGAATAGAGTGCAATAGAATGAGTAACATTCAATAAAATCTACTTCATGAAAAGAGGGATATTATTTTCAATTAAAATGTTGAAAGTAGTTGATATAATGATTGAATATATGGTTTTTACAGGCAATCAGTTTCCTACAACCAACCTCTGGGGGGGCAGATTGAGACAAAATAAAAAATAAATAATAAAC